AATCTGTCCTGTGAGTATCAGATTTTCCAAGCCCTCCTTCCTTATGTGCCCCAGAGATTTCAACTATCTCTTCTTGATGTTAAACATAAGTTTTCATTTTGTTTTGTATCCTCAGCATCCTTCTGTAGAACCATATTTCTGTTGCCTCAAGTCTCTTCTTTGAGGAGATTGTTTTTTTTTTTTTTTTGTTTTTTTTTCTAACAATGTTTTTATTTCCTCTTAACTGCTTAGCTTTTGGAATTCAACTTCACCTGAGTTAAAAATGCACATTGAAATCTCTTGTGAGAAACAAACCTTTTTATAAGTTAAGTTTCCAGATTTAACTTTTCTCAGTTTTACTAGTTTTAAATTAACTTGTATTAAGTTAAATTTGTGAGATCTCAAAATTATTCTTTTATTTCATGTATATTCTGGTAGGAATAAACTTGGGCTGCCAAAGCTTTTTTTACTCGTGAATAACCAGTTTTGGTTATTTCTGTAAAAGCTGCAATAAAATATTGTTTGTCTGGCCAGATCTGACCAGACCCTCTGGAAAATATCTTTAATTCTCTCCTGTATTAAGTATTCTTTTAACTTTATTTTTTCATTTTTATTGTGTGTATAAATTCTGGTTTGTTTGGTAAACTATTTCTGTCAAAAATTTTGTTAATTCATAATCGAATGATGATTAGTTATATTAAAATTATTTCTTCTCAGTCAGACTCGAGTGTTAAAATAAATGGTACTTGGCACTAATATCTCTTGCTTTTAATGAAAGCTCACTTTTATGAAAGTGTGGCTTTTTCAACAAGCAAATAATACAGAGAGCACAATGACTTGTTGGATAGAGCAAGCTTTCAGCTACAAAACATTGTTTTTTTGTTTTTTCCATAGTGTCACTACCATTAATTATGCATTTTGAGGTGATCTTCATTTTTGTGTGACAGCTATCTCAAGCCTCTGGTAATTTGGCTTGTCAGCATATTGCAACTGCCACTCTTGTGACACATTACCCACTAACTGTGCTCACATCCTCAATGATTTGACTCTGCTTTATGTGCACTTTCATATCAAGTGCCATTTTGTCTGCCAATCTGTAATCAGGCAAGAACATTACACTCTTGGCAGAAAGGTTTAACCCCTGCTGTTATATCTCTGATATGTGGCAGCATCAGAAAATAGGAGGCAGTACTTTTGGAGCTATCCTTTGACAAGTATTGGGCATAAGACGACATCAGTTTTTTGTACATTGGTACTTTATTATTCAGTGAATTTTCTTGTTCTAGAGACTGACTCTATAAAAATATTTGGAAGTCAATATATTGGCATCATTATTTTTTTATTTTTATTTTTTTTTTATTTATTTATTTTTTTTTTTTGTGTGTGTGTGTTTTCCCCCCTCCCTCAAACCATTTCTTGACCTGCAGGAGTGTCCAAGTCACTGATGAGTTTAATTTTGAATAATTTCAAATAATACCTTGTGTATTCCTTAGTAGTTTTTTACTAATAAGGGAATTCCTTTTTTGTGATTTATTTTTCCCCCTTTACTCTTGGTGTTGAACTTTATTGGCTCAAGTTTTAAAGTAGTGCTCAGGAGAGAGTTCTATCTTGTCTGCTACCAGGAAATATGAAACTAATTTATAGTAATTGCACATATTAAGTTTTACCTTCTAAGCTTCTGTTCTTATTGCTATTAAAGGTAGAATAAAAGTGAGGTTTATTGTTAGACCTTTTATTAAAAAGGCAGGAATTCCTATATATTGATAATGGTCAGGCAGCTTCTTGGAACTTTACACATTTCTCCTGACATCTTCTTTTCAGAACCCTTTGCAGATTTCTTTTGTGATTTCCATCATCTGCCTCCGTGTATTCTTTTTAATTTCATCTCTCATTTCAACAGCAATTTTTACATTGAAGTCGTGAAAATTTGCAGGGAAGTAAAATCTGTACTGTAGGATTTGGATGATATGTCTTAGCAATGTGTCTTTGCACAAGACCTGAATCTATTGGCACAGTTATTGTAAATATGATTGTCACTTGGTTTACTTTGTAGCATCTTGATGCTAACTGAGGAACTCTGAGAAGATATCTGTTCATGGATTTGCTATCTTCTGATTGATTGCCAAGTTAATCAAAGCTTTGTTCTTAAGACATTTAAAATGAATGGATACATTCTGGTCAATGTATAAGTGACTCATAAAGGAATGAAATTGATTGATTTTTGCTGTAATCATCATAAGTCCCTTGACCAGGTGTGGTTGTAGGGTCACTGTACATCCAAATCTCTGAATGAATCCAGTCTGCTGATCAGGGACATTGTCAGCCTATTTTTTTTTTTTTTTTATTTCCTCTGGAAAAATATTTTTATGAACCTTTTAAAAAAAAAAAAAAAAAAATATCTAAGTTCAACTTTTGTGGTAGTTAATTACTTTGAACAGAAGCTTTTACCTTGAATATTTTTTGAACAACGGTAGATCTTGGTTAAAAGTTGACAAGTAGAAAAATGCTAACTTTATTTAGTTGGAGAATTGAAGGAAAAACTAAGTAAAAAAAAAAAAATTTCTTAAAATTGACTTCCCACCGGCACAAATATATGCATTGAATGTAAAGAAATTCATAGAAAAGATTCGCGCTCGTAAGGCAAATATTTAAGAATGTTACATTCTTGCAAATATGAGATTTTGCTGGTAACATGCAAATTTCCAACCTTTGAAAAGAATATAAAAATCACATTACGGAGGGGGGTTGTTTTAGATCCTGATTGTCACAGTCAAGTGTGGGTTTTCTGTGGTTGACGAATGGTAAGAACAGAAGAGATGGAGAAAAGAGATTTATTGTTGCCAAAGGATGAAAGGTGGTCAAATTGATTCTCTCATAAATGAACACAAACTACACTTTATTATAGAAAAACTTCTCTTTTTGTATGCCAAGAAAAATATTGACTTCAGATTTAAGTTTTTACTTTCAAAGAACCTTTTGTTTGATTTTTTTTTTTTTTTTTTTTTTTTTTGTTTGCTGGCAAATGAAAGAAATTATTTTCTGCTAAATTAAGCAAAAGTAAGTGAAAATTGTTATTTACTAACCCTACCTAATTATTAAACCCTCACCGCTTTTTATGTGCAGTTAACAAAAATTGGACAGTGCCTAACTGTTGGAAGAACTTCAATCTTTTAAGTCAAATCTAAAACAATTCTGTATTTGTCTTTGTAAAGTCACCTCATTCTCCATTGACAAACAATCAACAGATGGCGTGTTTGTCATTGGTTCATTTGTATTATTGCCCTTGGTGATCAGTTGACTGAAGATCTGCTAGGTATTGTCTATTGTATTTGTAAAATTATATAGATCTATTTCTCTCGTAGATGTGATTTTAAATCCAGCCAGTTGTATAAAGGCACTCTTCTTTGTATCTGACCTTAGACATGGGTTTTGTTCTTGGGTTACTTTTGAAGATATATATATATATATATATATATATATATATATATATATATATATATATATATATATATATTTATTTATTTATTTTTTTTTTTTTTTTTTTTTTTGCTAGATTACAGAGGAAGAAAAAAATCTTATTTTTGAGTCTTATTCTTTGATGATTAATTTAGTTACATAGAGGCTTTAAAGGCAGGCAAGCACCTAACCTCCAGTTGCAACAAATTCTTTTTATTTGGTAGTATTGCTCAGCTATAAGCTAGGCACTTTATTTTACTTCTTCCTTGTTCACAAAAACATTTTGAATTACAAAAAAGGCTTCAAGAGGCGACAGAAGTTGGAGAAAACTGATTAGGGAACCTTATTACAAGCCAGAAAAAAAACTGACTACACATTTTGAATTATTTAAAAGATAGGATAGTACTTTTTTCTTTTGATTGGCTGTAACTTGTATAAATCAGTTTTCCAGATAATACATTCAGTTAATGTGAATGCAGATCTTAATCCACACAGCATTAGAATGTGACTTTGTTCTTTGTAGGTGTGGGACCCCTTCTTGCAAATTTTTCTTGCATACTTTCTCTCTCTTCAACAGAGATACATTGTTGGAATTCCAGCAAAAACAAAGAACCAAACCCTTAAAACTTGATGCACACACACACACACACAGGTTATTCTATAGCAGCACCTCTCTCTCTCTCTCTCTCTCTCTCTCTCAATCATAGTACCACATTCAAAGAGCCTTTCTTCTTTCCCCTTCTCAGACATTGCAAAGACTTGTATTCCCACTATCGTTCAGACTGCATTTATAAAGACATTTATAGATGCAGTCTGATATTCTATCCTCCTTACTTGTTTTTGTTTAAGAACTGAAGATTTCATCATGGCGTTATATTTCTTCAAAATAAGCTTTTGATTAAATCCTGTAAATTCCTGTGCTGAGAGAATTGTTACCTGTACCCTGACTTTAAGGGATGCAGCTGCAGACTGCCTGATAAATGATTTACTTGTCTCCCATTTCATTTCTACACCCTTCTGCTTCCCAGTACATCAATCTCAGATAAGTAATCTCAAGAAATGTTTACTTAGTTGCATATGAAGTACTTTGTCATGAGTCACCTGGTATTTCTACTTTCAAAAATCCATGTTTCTCTTTGGATGACCATCCTCAAGTTGATTTAGAAGAATGCAGAAGAAAAGATTTCATCAGAACATTGGACAAAATATTTAATTTCTCTCTACAGATGAGAATATTTTAAAGAAAATATACTTAGTTTGCCAGCAGACCACAGGGTTAAGAAAATTTTTGTTTTGGACTTGATTCATTGTTATGTTTTTTATGGCTTATCGACCTATTGATTTAAAGCCAGAAAATATTTTCAGATTGTAAGAATTTTCTTTGGAAATAACAATGATTTACTGATAAGTCTTAATTAATCCATATCTGGGAGAGAATATGAATTCATACCTTTCCCAAGTTGATTTGTGTATAAATAAATATAAAGACCCCTGCTGGAATTGAAACCCTGATCTCTGATTTCCAATTCTGAGCCATTATCTATTACATCACCTGCACAATCATGCTTACAGCATCTGGTATTTCCAAATGGTCACCCATCTAGGTACTGACTAGGCTTGACATTGCTTAACTTTGGGGATCATATGAGAACTGGTGTTTCAATTAGAACTTGGCTCTCCAATATCTCATGCCAAGCTGATAGCCATTACTCCACAAGACATGTCTAGTCTAGTACTGCACTTAAAGTCTAGGTACCATAGTGGAAAGTTCATGAACAATTACTAAGAAAGTAATTCTAGAAAATGCACAGGGATGCTATGCTATGCTATGCTATGTTATGATGTTGGGAAAGTAACTGAAGCTGAAATGCCAGGTCAGGACCAATAACATTGCAGATTCTTTTTTGTATTTTATCAAGAATCTCTAAATATATAGCAGCAGCAATATTCAATGTATGGATGAATGGTAGATTTATAAATTTGTAAGATAGACTCTGGCAAGAGGAATTATCTAGCATGACAAACTGAACACTTTTCTAGTAGCAGGCCTGGCAATTGATTCAATATAATCTTTCTCTTTGATAGTGGAAAACCTTAACCCAAGTTCAGAGGTTAGGTTAGCATCAGCCATATTGATGGAAGGCAAAAATGGTACTCTAAAACGATTGAAAGAGAGCAATTTTGGGGGTATTCAAATTTACAAGCCATTTCTTGCCCCAGTTACCAACGCTATAATTCTCAATTAGAAAAGATATCTGTCTTTTGAAATAAACTGTTCTAATTTTATAATTATCTAGTTATTAACTTTTTATTTTTATCTCGTATACTTAGCCTTTCAATAATTGATGTATGTCTCTGATAGTGAGAATCTCCAGATAAGGTCTAGTGATGCAGATATGGTAAAATTAAATGGCTTCCAAGTTAGAAATAGAAGCATAAAATAAAATAATTATTCATAGATATATCAATGTGCACTAGAAATTGTTTAATGATATAACTATGTGAGCTGGGTGAAAAATTATCTATAACAATGAGATGTTATTGACAATGCAATTCAATCAATAAACCAGCAATTCAACATTATTTTATGGGGATTCTTTGTCATAAGATTTCCTTTTTTTTTTTTAAATTTAAATCTTGTCAGAAATGATTTGTATACCTGAAAATGTTTATCTTTTTGTTGATCATCAAACAGCGAGAGAAAACACTTCCTGGCTTGAACAGTGATTGTTTTTGGGTGGTATTTCTGGAACAAATATTCTAATTTTATTGCATATATTTTGTCAACAATCTTATAATTTTAATTTTTATTAATGATTTCACACTTTCTAGATCGAATAGATCTAAATTTTATAGAAGCAGTTAAAACTGTCAAAAGGTGTGGTTTGATTAAAATAAAATATTTTTGCTTTAGATATTTTCATTCATGAGTTCTGTTTTTTTTTTTTTTTTTTACTTTATATAAACAAATTGTGCTTTCTGTATTTAGCTGAAATTACTTTTTCTTACTGATCTACTTATTTGTATCTTTTTATTACAAAAAGTAAATTAATATCCAAACTTTGGTGTATACATTATTTTCCTATTCCTTTTTGACTTTGGTACATGGTAATCTTAGGTGTTTCCTTACGAGGAAACATTTAGCACTCATTGACTTAGCAGTCAGGACTGCTTTCAGTTGAAATTTATAAAATCTTTCTCTTAAAACGATTTTCTAGGAAGATAGTTTTCTCAAGTCCAGTAGCTGTTATTACTCTTATTGATGGGGGTTTCCTTCCTAACCTTTTGTTTGATGTAGTGTGGAATGTCAACATGTTGATGTCATTATTTTCTCTTCAAGTTAAAGGTGCTATCCATTTTAGTTGTTGCTGCTGTTGGTAATCCTTAATTGATGTGGTTTCTGTTAATTAGTATTGTTCTTTGTTTATGATTCTGTACCAGTCCCATTATTCAAAGAGTGGTCTTTGCCAAGACCCCCTGGTTTCTCTTGCTCAAACCATTTTTAACCATTGATTTTAGAAAGCAGTTGTATACAGCTGACAGTTTAGATATTTCTTAATGGTTTTAGAGTCTTGCATAATGTCCATATGAAAATATCTATCTGATGAGACTATTTAGGAAGATCACTCTAGTTTCAAATTGATGTTTTTTTTATATTGTTTTGTAGGTCAATTTTTTTCTCTTGTTAAATTTCTCTAAATGATCCATACACTAAGGTATTTATAACAACTTATATGGTAACAATTACCATTGAATATAACGTGAAAGCCTTTTTATATATAATTTATATATATATGTGTGTTTTTTTATTGGATTAAACAAGTTTACTTATTTTCTGTAATTTTAAAAATTAAAAAAAAAATTCTATGCAAAAGGAATCTTATTTAATACTTTGGTTTTTTTCTTTGAAGAACACTACATGTTGAATAAGACATAAAAGTACTTGGAATGAAATAATGTATCAAAACAGTAATTTTCTCTTCCTTTGACAAAAAACTTGTCCATGAATATGAAAGGATCATAGTCTTTTCTAAATTATTTGATGAAAATGTCTCAAAGAAGACCTGCTGCCAAACTTCCCTGTAATTTTGAAAATAAAAATTTTGTTGAGTTATTTTTAACTAAAAAACGAAATTTTATTTAAAATGCTAGTAATAAATTTTTACTATAGTTACTAGTTTTATTTTCTGAAAATATGTTCGGACATTCGTATTTACTAAAATGAACACCTTTATACACGCAAATTTAAATTATTAGTTGTTGAATTGCAAGGAAAATGAAGATTTGAATGATTTCATCTGGTATCCTAATCAGTAAAATAGCTTTCATATTTAAGACAGGCTCCTGAGGAAAAGAACTGGAGAATCATTTATAATTAAGTTCTTTTTGGACTTAATAAAAAAAGTGATTGTTTCTCTGAAATTATAGACAATAAAATATAAATATCATTGTTAGTCTTTAAATAAAAAAAATGACAAAATTTTAAAAATATATATATTTTAAAAGCAATTATAAAAATTCTAATTAAAAAAAAATAAAATACTTGTAAAAATTTATTCTTTACTTGTATTTTTTTAAAAAATTTTTGTGGAAGTGTTCTGAAGATCGTTCTATCTATCTTGGATTTTTTACAAATGAAAAAAAGTCCAATAGTTTTTTCATTATTGAATGCAATTTTAGGATTAGTATTAAATTTTTTTTTTTGAAAACGACCCAGTGCAATATACTTTCCGAGAAAGAAAACTGAATGTTTGGTTTTATAAATTTTTTGACAAATATTCAGAACTTCATTTTTTTAAATTGATCATTTTTTGAAATGAAATTTGACCAATAAAATTTCATTTTTCTTAATCATTTCAAAACAAAGTGATTTAAATTCTCTGAGGAATAAAAAACAGGAATTAAGACAGAAGATAATGTTGGATTTAAATTTTGAATATCAAAACTAATAAACAAAAACATTAAATAAACTAAGTTTACAAAAATTTCGAAATGATCATTAAATATTGAAAGAATAGACAAATTGAGATTCAGCTAAAGAATTAAATATGGACAAATATAGATAACCGCTTTTAGCAAAAGGCTTTTACCTATAGAGTACAGAAAAAAAATGAGACCTAAGGTTTACAAATGAATATAAAAAATAAAATGTTTTTTTTTTCAAGCTAATAGAATTTTTTTTCAATGAAAAATACTTTCAATTCCAAACTGAATTTAAATTGATTGAAAATTTTCTTTTATCAGTAAAAAATTAAAATTCATCTTTTTCGTCTTTTTTTTATAAAAAAATCTTTTAAAATAAAATAATACTTTCCTGAAACTTTGTTTCATTAACTTTAAAAAATCTGATTTGAAACATTATTACTTATTTTTTTAAAATATTGCAAAAGCATTTTTAACATGAAGGTGGATTTTTTTGTTTTTTGTTTGTTGACAATTCTTATTTTTTTATTTAAGGGACATAACTGTAACAATTACTTGAATATAACGTGAAAGCCTTTTTTATACAATTTCTTTTAACTACTCTGTAATCTTAAAAATTAAAAAATTCTATGCAATTTAATACTTTGGTTTTAAGATACATTTTTTTGAATTACAACGTCATAGTCTTGAAAAAGACAAACTTGAAAATAAAATTTTTTTTTAACTAAATTTTTTTACTATAGTTTTTTTATTTTCTGAAAATATGTTCGGACATTCGTATTTACTAAAATGAACACCTTTATACACGCAAATTTAAATTATTAGTTGTTGAATTGTAATTATCTTTTCCATTTATAATTAAGTCTTTACTTAAGTTAATAACAATATCACTTTAAATTAAAAATACAAAATTTTAAAAAGATTTTAAGTTTATAAAAATTCTAATTAAAAAAAAAATAAAATACTTGTAAAAATTCATGATTTATGAAAAAAATTATTCTTAAGATCGTGTCTATATTTTAAAAAACAAATTTTTCTAGTGTCTTATTTTTATTGTATTTTTTTATTTTACAATTCAGAACAGATTTTTAATTAGGGGGTCCTGTTTCAGTTTGACCAGAAAAATTTAATGATTTAAATTCTCTGAGGACTTGTACATATAACTAATAAACAAAAACATTAAAGCAGTATACAAAAATTTTCGAAATTAATTAAATATTAAATAAGTGGGGATTTTTAAGTTGTTTTTTTTTTTTTCTTTTTTTTATAAAAAAGAAATATTTTAAAAATAATTTCACTTATTCGTGAATGTCTTAAAAGCTCAATTATCAGATTTTTGCAAGAATTTTCAAATCTGTGTTTGACACTGCAAAAAGACGATTCCCATTTTTGTGGTACAATTTTTAACCAAAATTTTCAAGGTTTTAAAAAGGATTAAAGGAAAATATTTTTGACATAAAAATAATCATTTTCTTTAAATAACAACTTTTTTTAAAATCGAATTTTTACACTTAGAAATATTTTTAAGAAGCATTTTTCTTTTTCCTGCTTTTTAACGAGCAATTTCGGTAATTTGTCTGTAAGCTCAGCATTCAACTTATCAGATCGCAATTCGTATTAATTACTGTTCCAGACCTTTCATCATTTGCACGATATAATTTTATTTTAACAATTGATAAATAAAATAATTAAAAATACAGTGACGTAACTTCCTAAATAAAATGAGATTGCTACCAGTTC